TGGAAAGCTGCTGAAATCTGCGAAACTTTAAAAATTATGCGAGATCCAACTTATTTGTCGCCTTTTCTTTATGAGCCTTTTTGCCTGTGTCTGGAACTTAAATCTATCTGTTAGTAAAGTTCAGTGTAACCATGACTTCCTGATACTACATACTGATAGAAACAAACAAGTAAAAGTCTGTTGTTGAATAGTAGTTGTAGTTGCTTAATCCGTCATTTTGCCCTATTTTCCCTTTGGAATTCCAATCCTTGAATCAGTTCGATTTAGTGTATGCGTTCAAAATCAGTTAGTCAGTTACGAAGCCTCTTATCGCAATGGACATGCATTAATCACATCCATTGCTACGGCATTGAAGAAGCTGGTGTCCTTGGAGCCATAGAACAAACTCTGACCGAGCTAAAGGCGAAGGATGAAGTTAGTTAGGGTTTTTCAAAGGATAAAATATGTGACACTTCTAATTTTATTACTTATGGCTAATATAAAAATATTCAGTCCTGTTTGTACGTAATCGTGAATTGCCTTCTTGCGAATGGATCAGTGAGAATACTCATCGAAGAATTGCTACGCGAGCTGAATCTAAAAAGACATGGGAAAGTGGAAACAATTGAAGCGCTCGCTAATTTTCTGGCAGCTCACTTATTTTCTTCGTTAGTGATGCTTTATTGGACATTTTACGATTCTTTGAATCAACTCAAATGTTTCAGGAAGAAGAAAGTCAGATTGACAATAGTATTAGATCAAGCCCAGGCTCTCTCATCTATTCCATTACTTACCCTAAAATGTCTACTCTCTCTTCCAAAATCGGTAGGCATTGTAGGACTTGGATTAAACACAAATTATTATTGAAATGACTTTTTTAAAAAATTTTTGCAGATGCCTTTGACATGTCAGCTTTCTCAAAAACCGTTACTTCGATTTGTAACTTGCAGTGAGTTATCATGGAACTGGATCCACTTATTGAACACTATCTCCTGGCCTGTTTCTATAGCATTTGAGAGTCCCACTGAGGGTAATTTCTTTTCCCTTAAACTGAATGCAAAGTCAATGTTTACTAATGTCATTTTAAAATGACTATTTTGTAGTCAAAATCTAATCATATCATTCTTCGCAAGAATAATATTTTGTAAAAGTTTTAACGACGGGATCACATTTTCTGGTTACAGTCAAAAATGAAACACAAAGAACGTGTTCAATCTGTTATTTGCTATCTACCGTTTACGTTCATGAAAAAATTTTGTTCAAAAGTTGTTATTTTTACATAATGTACTAAACATTAAAACTAAAAACTAAACACTAAACATTAAGAGATGTATTTGGCATTATATGGCAATATCATTGTAGATTTCAACAGAAGCGAATATATATATATATATATATATATATATCCGTTATTACGGATTTCGGAATTGATGTTACTGTGAAGCATCATCCCAGGCTTCTACAAGCCATTTAAACTACTCCACAATTCACTTGCATTTTCCTCCAT